CTGGTTACTGGCAGGTTAACTATGATATTGGGAGTACAGCCTAAATCAGCGGTGTCGTGTCGTGACGTATCATGACTTTCTCCCCATTGCCAGAGCTGGGATGGGCGCAGTTTTGGCATGACGCGCAGTTTGACATCCCTGCCCTAGATCCACGTTTCTCAACAACGGCCATCTATGTATGGACTTCAACTCCCAGAATTCCCCAGCCAGCATGGGAGTTCACATGTCTTCAAGTGGCCGTTGTTGAGAAACACTGATCTGAATGTTCAAAAGTTTCCTATCCCTAATGAAAGAGGTGTCCTTCCTTGTTTATTGTTTAGAGGGAAAAAAAAAACACATTTTATCTATACTAGCTCAAAGGGTCATTGTTTTTTTAGGTTTTTATCAGTAGTAAAAAAAGCCAGAAGTTTCCATTTTTTTCCCCCACAGCTTTCTCCCCTTTGACTCCCTAATTTTCCCAAACCTTTCCTTGTTTCTTTTTAAATTCTTTTTCCTTTCTACTTTTGCGTTTTATACTTTTCTGAAATTGAATAAACTTTAGGGAGGGAGAAAGGGAAAAAAAAAGTGTTTTATATAGATTACAGTGTTTCTCAACCTTGACCATTTTAAGGCATGTGGACTTCAACTCCCAGAATTCCACAGCCAGCATTGCTGGCTGTGGAATTCTGGGAGTTGAAGTCCACATGCCTTAAAATGGTCAAGGTTGAGAAACATTGATATAGAAGAAGTTAGAAGTTATTTAATGTATCCTTCCTTCATCCTCAATTTTTTTTGTAGAGTTTAATTCTGTAAGGCAGGGGTCCCCAAACCTTGGTCCATGGACGCACAACCAGGCCATGAAAGCGAGCCAAACCCCAACAGCACACGCATGGGATGCAGGCAGCACATGAAAACATGTCCCCCCCTCCGTCCCCGGTCCATGAGAAAACCACTCCCCACGGAACCTCTCCCCAGCACCCAAAAGATTGGGGGCCACTCCTGTAAGGCGCCCCAAGTCTTGATGAGTTGGTGGGCATAGAAAGGTTCACAAATAAATAAATAAACTGTGAGCGAATCAGGCTGAAAATAGAAGGAAATTTAAGAACGTAATGCGAAGTGCTTCGCTTGGCAAACTGAAACCAACATGACACTGTTGAAAAGGGAATTATCCTTTTGCCTGGTAATGTGTGTGTGTGTGTGTTGGGGGGGGGCAAGCTGCTTTGGTCACAAGCTGAGTGTGAGTCAGCAGTGTGAGAGATGACAGTTTTAAAAAGGCCGACGCAATTTTAGGCTACATCGACAGACGCGGTCACGGGATGGCCGTCGTTCTGTCGTCTTCTGTGCTGATCAGCTGCTTCCCTTCAATCCCAAGCCTCCTTTTAAAGCAGTGGTTCTCAACCTTTCTAATGCCGCGACCCCATAATACAGTCCCCCATGTTGTGGTGACCCCCAACCAGTTATACATCACCGGGTGCCAGGGGCGTGGCCAAAGAAAAGGGGGAAAAATGGCGGACAGCCTTGTTTGGCGACCCCCGTGAAATGGTCGTTCGACCCCAAATGGGGTCCCGACCCACAGGTTGAGAACCACTGTTTTAAAGCAAAAGCGCTTAAATGGGAGTTGTGTCAATACGAATTCATGGAAAATGAAAAAGGCTTGGAAAATGGAAACGACGTTGATTGGGAGATAGGAGGAGAGGCGTGGAGGGCACCGGAAAGTTTAGCTTTGAGGAGAAGGCTGGGGTAGCACGGTGGTCATTTCTGACGGGATGTTGCGGAGAAGACATGAAAGGGTGGATTTCCTACTCTGAGGAAAACAGATTTCTGTGTAATGTTGGGCAAATCTTCCTAAATATATCAGCTCCTCTTTGCCGGATATCTGAGAGATCAATTAGGGCAGTGGTTCTCAACCTTTTTAATGCCGCGACCCCCAACCGGTCGTAAGTCGAGGACTACTCAACTGGGTGCAGCACCGTTTGCAGAATGGGACTTTTGGTGGCTCAGCAGGGCAGAGACAGCCTGGACAATTCCTATGGGCTTTTGAAAGCCAATAGAATTAGACTCTGTTCAAGAGAGTCTGTTCTATTGGCTTTCAAAAGCCAATAGAATAAAAGGGAGGAGCACAGCTAAGGAAAAGGGGGGAAAAATGGTGGACTGCGTTGTTTGGCGACCCCCGTGAAATGGTCGTTCAACCCCAAATGGGGTCCCGACCCACAGGTTGAGAACCACTGAATTAGGGACAGGTGATCATGGGGAAAAATCTTATCTTGGTCAGGGGTCCCCAACCCCTGGGCCAGGGTCTATTTGCAACCAGGCTGTACGAGCGGAGAGCTGGTGCACGCATGCTTGCACACACTCACACAGCTCAATTTGTGCAAGCGACAGCCCGGCACACAGGCATGCATGTGCAGCTCCATTCGTTCAGCTGCGTGTGTGCATGCAGGTGCATGCCACTTGCATGAGTTGAGCTGCAAGCGCGCGTACACACTGGCCCATCACTTACGTTTCCCTCTCCTCCCCTGTGCCCCAATGTTGGGGACTGTTGATCTAGGTCAGGGCTTCTCAACCCTGGCAACTTTAAGATGTGTGGCTTTCAGCTCCTGACTAGGACATACTGGCTGGGGAATTCTGGGAGTTGAAGTCCACCCCTCTTAAAGCATGCTGGCTGGGGAATTCTGGGAGTTGAACTCCACCCCTCTTAAAGCATGCTGGCTGGGGAATTCTGGGAGTTGAACTCCACCCCTCTTAATTGGCTGGGGAAAGTTGATCTGGTTGAAAACCACAAGTATAAACTGACGGTTGAGACAAATTTGTGATCGGTGTATGTGACTCCACTAGAATTACACTGGGAATTAGATTATTTAATGTTCTTTTTTAAAATATTAAAAATACTTCTTTTTGCACAGGACCTAGTGTAGTTTTGTTTGTTTGTTTGTTGTTTTTTAAAATATTCATCGGCTATTATGAATGTACAGGTATACAGGGCATGCCTAGCCATAGGCTGGCTGAGGAATTCTGGTGCTGCACCAGTTGAGTAGTCCTCGACTTACGACCGGTTGGGGGTCGCGGCATTAAAAAGGTTGAGAACCACTGCGATAGCACATCATGGAAATGACATTTGCTGGATGTCTTGAAGCACAAGTTGGGCACTCCTCTCGCTGGGATGCTTTGATTTAGATTCCTACACTAAGGAGAGGTTCGGCTTGATAGCCTCAAGGAACTCTTCCAAACCTGGGATTTAATGTCTGCCGATCTCAAAAATCCCCCTCCCCATTTGTGAGCTGAAATATTTGGGGTGACAAGAGGACCACAGCAAGCCTAACCTTCGGGGTTAGCTTTGCTGGTGCTTCCATTGGGGATTGTCTGTGTTTACGGGACGATGTGTAAACATTTGAAGTGTTCTGGCCCTATTTTAGGAAAGGAACAAAGTCACTGAAAATAGAGCAAAGTTTTGCTTGCAGAGGCCACGGAAGATCAGCGGTGGAGCCAAGCCGTGGGAATGCAGGAAAGGTCAAGCAACCACTTTCTCTGGAAGCTCTGCAAGAGGATCGTGTTTCAGCTCCTTCGGAAGCTTAATTGCCCTGCAAATTTAAATGTAGACTTACGTCTGCAATATATAAGCTTATAATATATTTATGGCTACTTAGTCAGTTATATCTGTGAGGTACACATATCTATTGAGGCAAGGGGTTTTTTTTTTCCAAAGGGGCTACACCCTTTTTAATTATTTTTTTTTACCAGCCGCTCCAAGACATTTACAGGATTTTCACTGCAGGAATTTGTAAATTAAGTCTCTGAGTTGTGCTCACTTTCTGGTGACTTGGTGGTCCCAGCCCTGCAGTTATTTTGGAAATGGTTTTCTGTGGTTTTTTTTTTTGGATCCTGGTGACTCTGAAAAAAATATTATGCAGGTTGTAAGTCACCCACCTTTTAATTATGATATCTGTGTGAATCAGACAAGAGGATGAGCAGTAAAGTTTTACAAGCCCTCTTTGAAGCGTTGCATAAAGTACTGTAATTAAAATATTCCGTTAATTGCTGTTGCGTGATAGCAATTAGCCTCCAGAGAGATAGAGGGGGGCTTTTCCCAGCTCTGTTGAGTTAGTGATGCAGTTTCCCGATACAATTCTGAGCCCTGGTGCCTTCCCACAGCCTGCTGGATATCTGACATTGTTGACAGCTGAATCCCGGATTTTTTGTATGGACATCTGTTGGTATGCTCAACAGCTGTGATCCACCCCTTGAAAAAGAGTGAAAGGATGTATCATGCATGTTACTCCAGTCACGTCACCAAGCTGGATTATAATAAAGAGGAAGACATAGCCAAGTATGTTCTTGAACATAGGAGTCCTCTTTTTCTCATATAGGATCCCATTATATGAGCTGTGGTGGTGCAGAGGTTAGAATGCGGCATTGCAGTCTAACTCTGCCCACAGCCAGAATTTCGATCCTGACCGACTCAAGGTTGACTCAGCCTTCCGTCCTTCTGAGGTCGTAAAATGAGGACCCAGATTGTTGCAGGAGCAATAGGCTGACTCTGTAAACTGCTTAGAGAGGGCTGTAAAAGCACTGTGAAGCGGTATATAAGTCTTAAGGCAGTGGTTCTCAATCTTTTTAATGCCGCGACCCACAACCGGTCGTAAGTCGAGGACTACTCAACTGGTGCAGCACCGTTTGCAGAATGGGACTTTTGGCAAGCTCAGCAGGGCAGAGACAGCCTGGACAATTCCTATTGGCTTTTGAAAGCCAATAGAATTAGACTCTATTCAAGAGAGTCCATTCTATTGGCTTTCAAAAGCCAATAGAATAAAAGGGAGTAGCACAGCTAAGGAAAAGGGGGAAAAAATGGGGACTGCGTTGTTTGGCGACCCCCGTGAAATGGTCGTTCGACCCCAAATGGGGTCCCGACCCACAGGTTGAGAACCACTGTCTTAAGGGCTATGGCTATTGCTATCTGAATTCTCCTGCTTTCTCATCCCACGTACATTCTCACGGCCCCTCCCTCTGCTTCCCCCCCCCCCCAGATGCTCCGGTTTCAGAGCTCCACGACCTCCTGTGTAAGAAGCTGCAACAGTGCTCCATCGTCTTCGACTTCCTGGACTGCGTGGCTGACCTGAAGGGCAAGGAGATCAAGCGGGCAGCCCTGAACGAGCTGGTGGAGTGCGTGGCCACCAACCGTGGCATCCTGATTGAGCCACTCTATCCGGAGATCATCAAGATGGTAAAAGGCTGGCCAAAAGCACCTGGGAAGGAGGGGGGGGCAGAGTAGGGGCAGTGGGGAAAGATGGGTAGGGGACAGGAACCTGGACTCCTATTACAAGTGGCCCTTGACGTACGACCACAATAGAGCCCAATATTTATGTTGCTAAGAGGGACAGTTGGTGAGTGACTTTTGCTCCATGTTACAACCTTCCTTGCCACAGTTGCTAAGTGAATCACTGCAGTTGTTACTTTAGCAACACGGTTGTTAAGTGACTCTGGCTTCGCCACTGATTTGGCTTGTAAGAAGGTCACAAAAGGGGATCACGTGACCCCGGGACACGGCAACCGTCGTAAATAGGAGCCAGTTGCCAAATGTGTGAATTTTGATCATGTGATCTTGGGGATGCTGCAATGGTGGTTGAGTATGAAAAACAGCCATAAGTCCCTTTTTTCAGTGCCGTTGTAACTTCGAACGGTCATTAAACAAGGATTATCTGTATAATTCTTCCTGAGTTTTATATTGATCGTGCTTTTTTTTCTGAAAGGAAGAAGGAAGAAACCACAATTAAAAAAAAATGGAAAAATGAAATTACTTACCAAAAGCATTACTCATCATTATCCTTATCAAGGTGAAGGTGATGCTGAATTGAAGATGATGCACACACATGCTATCAAAAGGAAGAAAAGATAGATACCTTTTAGATTGTAGTTTTCAGGGAATCTAAGAAGTCGCTCTGTCTTTACAATTAAATTATTTGGCGATCTAATCTAAACTTTCAGTTTTCCAATGGTTTAAAAGGAGTTTCAAACTTGAATGGGAGAGCCGTATTATATAAAATGTGTTAATTAGTGGGCCGCATTTATAAACATGCAAACATGTAAGAAATAGCCAATGTTTATTCATTATTCAAATGCAAAAGTTGGCTTGAAACTCAACATTAAGAAAACCAAGATCATGGCATCCGGCCCTCTCAATTCCTGGCAAATAGATGGGGAAGAAATGGAGGTAGTGACAGATTTTATCTTCCTGGGCTCCAAGATCACCACAGATGGGGACTGCAGCCAACAAATTAAAAGATGCTTGCTCCTGGGGAGGAAAGCTATGGCAAATCTAGACAGCATACTCAAAAGCAGAGACATCACCCTGCCAACAAAAGTGCGTATAGTCCAGGCCATGGTTTTCCCAGTTGCAATGTATGGCTGTGAAAGCTGGACCATAAGAAAGGCTGAGCGCCAAAGAATGGAGGCCTTTGAACTCTGGGGCTGGAGAAGACTCCTGCGAGTCCCTTGGACTGCAAGGTGTTCAAACCGGTCAGTCCTAGAAGAGATCAACCCTGACTGCTCTTTAGAAGGCCAGATCCTGAAGTTGAAACTCAAATACTTTGGCCACCTAATGAGAAGGACTCACTGGAGAAGGGCCTAATGCTGGGAAAGATGGAGGGCAAGAGAAGAAGGGGACGACAGAGAAGGAGGTGGCTGGATGGAGTCATTGAAGCAGTAGGCGTGAGCTTAAAGGGACTCCAGAAGATGGTAGAGGACAGGAAGGCCTGGAGGAACGTTGTCCATGGGGTTGCGAGGGGTCGGACACGACTTCGCAGCTAAGAACAACAACAAATTCATTATTCATTGTTTAAATTAGTAAAACAAATGCATATATAATTGCTTTGTAATTAATCATTGTTTAATCATTTTAAAATTAAACTGTAATAAAATTAAAATCTCAGGGATCGGTTTGGACAAAACTCAGCAGCACTTTTTCGTGCGGTTGCTGATAAAAACAGCATCGCCAACATGATTGCCAACGTCCGATAACGGATATGGCACAAGGAGAAGAAGAAAATTAAACTAAAATGGCACTATTGATGGCTAAGGGAGCCAGTTTGGTATTGTGGTGTAGATACCAGGCTAGAAACCAGGCAGTTGGGAGTTCTAATCCCGCCTTAGGCACAAAGCCAGCTGGGTGACCTTGGGCCTGTCACACACACTCATCCCTAGGAAGGAGGCAATGGCAAACCACTTGTGAAAAACCTTGCCAAAAAACCTGCAGGGACCAGTCCAGGCAGTTGCTAGGAGTCAACGCTGAACTGGAGACACCTCCCCCCCCCTCAAATTTGATGTATAATAAAAGCAAAAAACAGAATAACAGGGTTGGGGGGAATCTTGGTGATGTTCTAGTCCAGGGGTCTTCAAATTTGGCCCTTTTATGACTTGTGGACTTCCAACTCCCAGAATTCCTCAGCCAGGCACGCTGGCTGAGGAATTCTGGGAGTTGGAAGTCCACAGATCATAAAAGGGCCAAGTTTGAAGACCCTTGTTCTAGTCCAACCCTCTGCTTAAGCAGGAGACCCTAACATTCCAGATAAGCGGCTATTCAATCTCTCCTTGAAAGTCTCCAGTGATGGAGCATCCACAACTTCTGGATGCAAGGAGTTCCCCTGATTAATTGTTCCCACTGACAGGAAATTTACTCTTAGAGAACTAGTATAGGGTCTCCTGCTTAAGCAGGGGGTTGGACTAGAAGACCTCAAAGGTCCCTTCCAGCTCTATTCTGATTCTGTGGATCTGAGGCTTGGGTGGAGTCTGTTCTGGGTTGGCTCAGCTGACCTTGAAAAGTTATCTCACTTCCAGGGTTTGGGCGTGGGCTGATCTGTCCCGTCTCTCTGCAGATCTCAGTCAACATTTTCCGAATTCTTCCACCCAGTGAGAACCCTGAGTTTGATCCCGAAGAAGATGAACCAAACCTGGAACCGTCTTGGCCCCATCTCCAAGTAAGAGTCGTTCTGAAGGCCGTGAGATTAAGATGTCCCCTTGAGTAGTGGCTCCGGGATTTGGATGTATCACCGGCTGGGCATGGTGGAACCCCACCTTTTCAAGGCATTCAACCTTTGCCTCCTGGTGGAAGAAGAAAGTTGAGTTGGATTTGATGGATTCCCTCTCTTCTCCTTCCAGCTTGTATATGAATTTTTCCTCCGGTTCCTTGAAAGTCCAGACTTCCAACCCTCGGTTGCCAAGCGCTACATAGACCAGAAATTCGTATTGATGGTAAGTGAGACGGAAAGGAAGGGTTTTACGGCTGGGAATCATGGTGGAAAGGCTTCCCTCCAGAAGATGTGGGTGCTCCAACCATGGAGTTTTCAAGAAGAGACTGGACAGCCACCTGTTTGAAATGGTATGGGGTCTCCTGCTCGAGCCAGGGGTTGGACTAGAAGACCTCTGAGGTCCCTTCTTCTCTATGATTCTGTGAGATGATAGATAGATAGACAGACAGACAGACAGACAGATGTTACGGATAGATAGATAAGATACAGTAGATGATAGATAGATAGATAGATAGATAGATAGATAGATAGATAGATAGGAGATGATAGATAGATAGATAGATAGACAGATAGATAGACAGATAGATAGGAGATAGATAGGAGATGATAGATAGATAGATAGATAGATAGATAGATAGATAGATAGATAGATAGATAGATAGATAGATAGATAGATAGATAGGAGATGATAGATAGATAGATAGATAGATAGATAGATAGATAGATAGATAGATAGATAGGAGATAGATGGATGGATGGACGGACGGACGGATGGACGGATGGACAGACGTTAACGGATAGATAGATAAGATACAGTAGATGATAGATAGATAGATAGATAGATAGATAGATGGAAGATGGATGGATGGACGGACGGACAGACGTTAATGGATAGATAGATAAGATACAGTAGATGATAGATAGATAGATAGATAGATAGATAGATAGATAGATAGATAGATAGATAGATAATGATAAATAGATGATAGATAGATAGATAGATAGATAGATAGATAGATAGATAGATAGATAGATAGATAGATAATGATAAATAGATGATAGGTAGGTAGGTAGGTAGATAGATAGATAGATAGATAGATAGATAGATAGATAGATAATGATAGATAATGATAGATGATAGATAGATAGATAGATAGATAGATAGATAGATAGATAGATAGATAGATAATGATAAATAGATGATAGGTAGGTAGGTAGGTAGATAGATAGATAGATAATGATAAATAGATGATAGATAGATAGATAGATAGATAGATAGATAGATAGATAGATAGATAGATAGATAGATAGATAGATAATGATAAATAGATGATAGGTAGGTAGGTAGGTAGGTAGGTAGGTAGGTAGGTAGATAGATAGATATATAGATAGATAGATAGATAGATAGATAGATAGATAGATAGATAGATAGATAGATAGATAAGACAGACAGACAGACAGACAGATCCAGAAGTTGTGGATGCTCCATCACTGGAGAATTTCAAGAGAAGCCATTTGTCTGGAATGGTATAAGGTCTCCTGATTGAGCAGGGGTTGGAATAGAAGACCTCTGGTCCATTCTGCGCTAAGATTCTATGAGATAAATAAGATAGATGGATGGATGGATGGATACGGTATAGGGCAGAAGTCTTTAAACCTGGGACTTTTGCAACTTGTGGACTTCAACTCCCAGAATGCCTCAGCCAGCATGCCTAGCTGAGGAATTCTGGGAGTTGAAGTCCACAAGTCATAAAAGGACCAACTTTGAAGACCTCTGTTCTAGGGCCTTCTGCTTGAGCAGGGGGTTGAACTAGAATTCAGAGGTCTTTTCTGCTCTATGATTCTGTGAGATAAATAAGAGAGGGAGGGAGGGAGGTTGTTGGTGCTCCATCACTGGAGGTGATGGACGAGACCTCAGGATGCTGCAACTGTCATAACTATGAGTCAGTTGCCAAGCATCTGAATTTTGATCACGTGACCGTGGGGATGGTGCAGCGGTCATAACTGTGAAAAATGGTCATCAGTCACTTCTCTCAGTTCTGTTGTAACTGCAAACGATCACTAAACAAATGGTTAAGTCGAAGACGACCTGGAATAAAATCTGACCCAGTCATATGATGACTTGCTTAGTGACCAAAATCTGATCCCAATTGGGGACATATGTTGAGGATTACCTGCCTAAGCTAGGAACAGCTTCCCCACAGATGAGAAATGGGGCCAAGACACAAAATAGATAAGATAGAACAGAACAGAACAGAAAATATGGAATGGAATGGAATAGAATGGAATGGAATAGAATAGAATAGAATAGAATAGAATAGAATAGAATAGAATAGAATAGAATAGAATAGAATAGAATAGAATAGAATAGAATATATGGAATAGAATAGAACAGAACAGAAAATATGGAATGGAATGGAATGGAATGGAATGGAATAGATGAAATAAAATAGAATAGAATAGAATAGAAAATATGGAATAGAATAGAATGGAATGGAATGGAATGGAATAGAATAGAATGGAATAGAATAGAATAGATGGTGTGGAATAGAAGAGAAATAGAATACTAAAATATAACAATCCTAGCCTTGCCCATTAGGGTGGTTTTAATAACTTACAATGCAATTAAGGTCATGAAGCACAAAACCCTCCAAATCTTTGGCAATGCTCTTTTTTCTCTTTGGTCCCTCTTCAGCTGCTAGAATTGTTTGACAGCGAAGACCCCAGGGAACGTGAATACCTCAAGACCATCCTTCACCGGGTTTACGGCAAATTCCTGGGCCTTCGGGCGTATATTCGCAAGCAATGCAATAACATTTTTTTGAGGTGAGCGGCTTCTTTGCCTTAGGTTTGCCTGGGTTTTCATCCCAAAGCGATGAAGGTGTGCTGTGTTGTCTGCAACCTTTTCTAATTTCTAATCTTGCACAAAGTCTCTGATTAATTCCTAGGAGAACCTTATCAACTGAGCCTGTAGATCAGTTTTCAAGCTGGGCCACTTTAGGACAGGTGGACTTCAACTCCCAGAATTCCCCAGCCCAGTATCTTTTAAAGTGGATGAACTTTAAGTCCCAGAATTTGGCAGCTGATATCTTTAAGATGAGTGGATGTCAACTCCAGCCTACTGGCTGGGGAATTCTGGGACTTTGAAGTCCACTAGTCTTTAAGTGGCCAAGCTTGAGAAACCCCATGCTAGAGAGTGGCTCATGCACTCTTTTCTCTAACCCAGTGGTTCCCAACCTTTTTAATGCCACAACCTCCCAACCGGTCGTAAGTCGAGGACTACTCAACCGGTCATAAGTCGAGGACTACTCCACTGGTGCAGCACCGTTTGCAGACTGGGACTTTTGGCAGGCTCAGCAGGGCAGAGACAGCCTGGACAATTCCTATTGGCTTTGGAAAGCCAATAGAATTAGACTCTATTCAAGGGAGTCTATTCTATTGGCTTTCAAAAGCCAATAAAATAAAAGGGAGTAGCACAGCTAAGGAAAAGGGGGGGAAAAATGGCGTACTGCGTTGTTTGGCGACCCCCCCGTGAAAAGGTCGTTCGACCCCAAATGGGATCCCGACCCACAGATTGAGAACCAAATGCTGTCTAAATATGTTGGAGGCCAAAGCCCCTCATCCACAGCTGAAATTATTCGAATGGCAAGATATTGGGGGGCTGGGGGGGGCATGCTAGCAGGCCCAAATAGTGAATTCTGTGTTCTCCCCTCTTTTCTAAGCCAGCTGATTCCTTCTCACTTCCTTAATTTCCCAAGAACCGTGACTTGTTGAAGCCTAAATGGGTGGATTTAAAACAAACGTTTTTCAGATTTGGCCCCCTTTAAAATGTGTGGCCTTTTAACTCCCAGAATTCCCCAGCCTACAGGCTGGAGTTAAAGTCCATCCATCTTAATGCAAGCTGGCTGGGGAATTCTAGGACTTGATGTCCATATATTTTAAATTGAAAGCATGCTGGCTGCGGAATTCTGGAAGTTGAACTTCATCCATCTTAAACCATGGAGGTGAGGTCCACCCCTCTTAAAGCATGCTAGTTAGGGAATTATGGGGGGGTCAAAGCCCACCCATCTTAAAGCATGCAAACTGGGGAATTCTGGGAATTGAAGTCCACCCATATTAAAGATGTTGGGTGGGGAATTCTGGGAGCTGAACTCCACATGCTTTAAAGGGGCCAAGTCTGAGATACATTAATTTAAAATATTTGCATCCCATTTCTCATGGTTAAAAGAAACCTGGAATGGCTAGTTTTGCATCATCTGCATCTGTTAAGCCCCCCAGATGCTTAGAGCGGGTAGGTGGGGCTGGGTCTTTGCATTGTGAACCCACTTTGTGTGAAAGAGAGTCCAAGATCCCCTTGGATTCTCTTCCGTTCCTTTCTAGAGTGGGAAGGCTATTTATTAGAGGGAAAGACTCTTCTGATCCGGAATCTTCTGGATTGTCTCCCGGTCTTGGGCTAGCTTGGCATCATGGTACAGGTCGTCCTGGACTTAACGACCACAATTTTGCCCAAATTTTCCTGGGCAAAGCGAGACCGTTGTTAAGGGAGTCGTGCCCATTTTACAGCCTTCCTTGACACAGTCGTTAAGCGGATCACTGCAGTCATTAAGTTAGTCAACACGGTCGTTACGTGAACCTGGCTTACCCCCCCGTTGACTTTGCGTGTCAGAAGGTCGCAAAAGGGGTCACCTGACACACACACACACACACACACACCCAGGACACTGCAACGAATTGGTTGCCCTGGGTCTGGATTTTGATCCCATGACCACCGGGATGCCACAACGGTCGTTAAGTGTGAAAGACGGTCAGAAGTCGCTTTTTTCCCCATGCCGTTGGGACTTCGAACGGTCACTAAACGAGGACTCCCTGTTGCCTTTCACGAAGGTGGGGAGGATGGGGAAAGGGGGCCAAGGGGAGAGGAGGGAGAGAGTTGCCTGCGTGCTCATCCGGCGGGGAAGACAAGGGCAAGAATGCAACCGTCCCCGTTTCTTCTGTTCCTTCCGCCCGACAGGTTCATCTACGAGACGGAGCATTTCAACGGAGTGGCTGAGTTGTTAGAAATCCTCGGGAGGTAAATCTTTTGGGGCTGGGAGAAGCAAGGCTCCTCCGTTAGGGCGTGTAAGGATGGCCGATCCCCCGTCTTCAGGACGGAAGAGAGCTCCAAGGTCATCTAGTCCCAACTCCCTGCTTAGGGTAGGATTCAGCAGAGCCTCTGTGAAGGAGGGCCCTCCAGCCTCTGGGTCGAAGACCTTTAGCCAAAGAGAAGGGAGAGAAGGAAAGGAGGGGAGAGGAGAGAAGGAAAGGAGAGGGAGAGAAGGAGAGAGAAAAGGGAGAGGAGGAAAGGGAGAGAAGGAGGAGAGAAGGAAGGAGGGGAGAGAATGAGAGGAGGGGAAAGGAGAGAGAGAAGAAGAGGAGAGGAGAGGCAGAGAAGGAAAGGGGAGAGAAGAAAAGGAGAAGGAGAAGAGGGGAGAGAAGAAGAGAGGGAGAGGAGAGAAGGAGAAGAGGGAGAAGGTGAGGGAGAGAAGGAGAAGAGAGGGAGGAGAGGAGGGAGAGAAGGAAAGGAGATAAGCGAAGGAGGGGAGAGAGGAAGGAGAGGAGAGAGAGAAGAAGAGAGAGAAGGAAAGGAGGGGAGAGGAGGGAAGGAAAGGAGAGGGAGAAGGAGAGAGAAAAGGGAGAGGAGGAGAGGGAGAGAAGGAGGAGAGACGGAGGGAGGGGAGAGGATGAGAGGAGGGGAAAGGAGAGAGAAGAAGAGGGGAGAGGAGAGAAGAAGAGAGGGAGAGGAGAGAAGGAGAAGAGGGAGAAGGTGAGGGAGAGAAGAAGAGGGAGGAGAGGAGGGAGAGAAGGAAAGGAGATAAGCGAAGGAGGGGAGAGAGGAAGGAGAGGAGAGGGAGAGAAGAAGAGAGAGAAGGAAAGGAGGGGAGAGGGAAGGAAAGGAGAGGGAGAAGGAGAGAGAAAAGGGAGAGGAGGAGAGGGAGAGAAGGAGGAGAGACGGAGGGAGGGGAGAGGATGAGAGGAGGGGAAAGGAGAGAGAAGAAGAGGGGAGAGGAGAGAAGAAGAGAGGGAGAGGAGAGAAGGAGAAGAGGGAGAAGGTGAGGGAGAGAAGAAGAGGGAGGAGAGGAGGGAGAGAAGGAAAGGAGATAAGCGAAGGAGGGGAGAGAGGAAGGAGAGGAGAGGGAGAGAAGAAGAGAGAGAAGGAAAGGAGGGGAGAGGGAAGGAAAGGAGAGGGAGAAGGAGAGAGAAAAGGGAGAGGAGGAGAGGGAGAGAAGGAGGAGAGACGGAGGGAGGGGAGAGGATGAGAGGAGGGGAAAGGAGAGAGAAGAAGAGGGGAGAGGAGAGAAGAAGAGAGGGAGAGGAGAGAAGGAGAAGAGGGAGAAGGTGAGGGAGAGAAGAAGAGGGAGGAGAGGAGGGAGAGAAGGAAAGGAGATAAGCGAAGGAGGGGAGAGAGGAAGGAGAGGAGAGGGAGAGAAGAAGAGAGAGAAGGAAAGGAGGGGAGAGGGAAGGAAAGGAGAGGGAGAAGGAGAGAGAAAAGGGAGAGGAGGAGAGGGAGAGAAGGAGGAGAGACAGAGGGAGGGGAGAGGATGAGAGGAGGGGAAAGGAGAGAGAAGAAGAGAGGGAGAGGAGAGAAGGAGAAGAGGGAGAAGGTGAGGGAGAGAAGAAGAGGGAGGAGAGGAGGGAGAGAAGGAAAGGAGATAAGTGAAGGAGGAGAGAGGAAGGAGAGGAGAGGGAGAGAGAAGGAAAGGAGGGGAGATGAGAGGGAGAGAAGGAGAGGAGAGAGAAGGAGGGAGGAGAAGAGAGGGAGAAAGGGAGAGAGAGAGAAGGAGAAGAGAGAGGAGAGGGAAGGGAGGAGAGGAGAAGAGGGAGAAGGAGAGAAGAGAAGGGGAGGGAGGAGAGAGAAGGAAAGGAAAGGAGGAGAGGGAGAGGGAGGGAAGGAAGGAAAAAAGAAAGAAGGAAGCAAGAAAGGAGAAAGAAAAAGAAGCAAGCAAGGAAGGAAAAAAAAAGGTAGGGAAAAGAAAGAAGGAAAGGGGATGGGAAGAAGAGAAAAAAGAATGGAAAGAGAAAGAAAGAGAAAGAAATGTAAAACTGGAGACGATTCTTAAATTCATCTACATCAATGCTTCCCAACCTCTGGGAAATTCTGGCTAGGAGAATTCTGGGAATTGAAGTCCACTCATTCAAGTGGCTTAGTTGGGAAGCCCTGATCTAGCTCCCCCCCCCACTGATAACGAGAAATTGGCTGCCACAACAACGACCCTGCAAGGGATGACCCTCCCTCCCGTAAAACCCCTCCCTCGGCTTCGCTTTCAGCATCATCAACGGCTTCGCCCTGCCCTTGAAGGCGGAACACAAGCAGTTCCTCATCCGGGTCCTCATCCCGCTTCACTCCGTCAAGTCACTCTCCATTTTCCATGCCCAGGTGAGCCATCGGCGCCCGGGGATGGGTGGGTGGCGGAGAGGAGCGCTCAGGGCGCTCCGCGGTTCAGGGAGACGCCCGAGGGTTCTCGGCTCTTTGCGCCCCTGACCTGGATTCTATTGCTCTGCGCCCACCCTCACTTGACTTACCTCCCTGTGGGGGGGGGCCCACTGTCCACACTGCCCCCAAGGCCACCGGGGGGGGGCCACCCGGGCTCGCAATAGCAGTGTCCTTTGTTGTGACAAACCTGCAGGTTGAAAAGTTAGCCCGGTCAGGATAAGAGGGGAGAAGAACAGACAAGGTCTCGCGCAGGGAACTGGTCTGCCCTGGCTGTTGCTGTGGGATTTCTGAGTGGCCTCCTCTCCGTGCACTAGCTGACTTTCTGGGATTAACGCCTAGGGCTGGCTGCGGGCTGCAGAAGCAGAAGGGGGGCAGCAGTGTGGGAGAAAGAAGGACCTTGAGAAATGGTGTCCTCTTCTCTCTTGCAGCTGGCCTACTGTGTGGTCCAGTTCTTGGAAAAAGATGCCACGCTGACCGAGCACGTGAGTCCGGCCTTTGCAAGGGGTAGGGGACAAGCAGCAGGGCAGGGCTCGTGGCCCCAGGGGGGTGGGGGGCCACAGGTGGTTTGGCACATTTTGGGAGCATGGGTGCGAGTGGCTCCTTGGATCCACAGCAGGAGTTTACTTTTTTGTTTATTCCTTGCTCAACCCCGCCAAGTGACTCTGGGTGGCTTAAAATTCCAATTTTTTTTTCCTCTCTTTCGTTCTCTCTCTCTATTGAATTATAACATCTATCCCATTGCAATTCTATGGCTCCCTGTTATGGTGATAGCCTTATGGTTTTATCTTAATTTAATATTTTTTCTCCCATATTGTATGGTCCACATATCTTATATATACACAGGTCGTCCTTGTTTTATGACCACAATTGCTCCACAATTGAGCAATTTCTCACAGGACATTTTTATAAAGAAAGAGCAGGCCTCCGAGCTGTGTAAAGCTATAAAAACTGGCAGTAGAGCCTCCATAGCTAGGAGCAGCATGCCTCCAAAATAAAGACCGGTTAAAGATTTACGTTTTGTTAAGAGGCAGGGAGTTTGGATCCATCATCTACAACGGATACATATGAAATAATGATACATACAAGGTAGTCCTTGACTTACGACCAGAACTGAGCCCAAAATTTTGGTTGTTAAATGAGATGTTTGATAAGTCCATTTTGCCCCACTTCACAAACTTTCTTGCCCCAGTTGTTAAGTGAATCGCTGCAGTTAGAAACACGGTCGTTAAGTGAATCTGGCTTCCACGTTGACTTTGCTGGTCAGAAGGTCACAAAAGGGGATCACATGACCCCAGGACACAGTGACTGTCATAAGTACGAGTTAGTTGCCAAGCATCTGAATCTTGATCACGTGACTGTGGGAAGGCTGCCACGATCATAAATGTGAAAAATGGTCATAGATCACTTTTTCCAGTGCCGTTCTAACTTTGGTCGCTAAGTGAACGGTTGTAAGTCGAGAATTACATATATATGTATGTCTGTCTGTCTGTGTGTGTGTGTTTGGTTATTTGGGTTTTCTCCCGGGTCAAATTGGAAGTACCTTGGCGACATTTCGACAAAGTCTTATTCGACATCTTCAGGCTGGTGCTTTCGGCTTCGTGCTTCCAGGAGCACGTGCTTCCTGCTTCCAGGAGGCTCCTGCTTTCGGCTTCGTGCTTCCAGGAGGCTCCTGGAAGCACGAAGCTGAAAGCACCAGCCTGAAGATGACGAATGAGACTTCGTCGAAACGTCGCCAAGACATTTCCAATTTGACGCAGGAGAAAACCCGAATAACCAAAGACCTACATACAAACACCCGCGAAAACCTCAGAAAATATATATATGTATATATATTTGCTGACGCCTTGTTTAAAGCAAATGTGCATATCAATGATTGCACGACCTCTGTAGACGCCACACGCTGAATAAAAACGAATAAATAACTTTCTTTCCTTTTGCAGGTGATCCGCGGCCTGTTGAAATACTGGCCAAAGACCTGCACCCAAAAAGAGGTACAGGGTGGGGGCGTGGAAGGGCAGGGGGGAACGCATGCAAATGAGATGTCTGCTGCTAGAGGGCCCCCCTCCTTTCATCTCCTCTCTCCCTCCCCCCCCACTTGATCAGGTGATGCTCTTAGGTGAAATTGAAGAGATCCTGGACGTCATCGAACCGTCGCAGTTTGTGAAGATCCAGGAGCCCCTCTTCAAGCAAGTGGCCCGCTGCATCGCCAGCCCCCACTTCCAGGTGCCTTGGGGAGGGGGCGCTGAGCAAAGGGTGGGAGGGGGGAGCCATCTTACGCCCACCCTCGGATATGGAATTTCAGTTGCCAAGCAATGCGGTCATTAAGCAAGTCATCACCTGTCCAGGACTGCATTTTACAACCGTTGTTTACTGCGATCATGCTTGTTAAGTGAATCGTGTGGTCACTAAATGAATCTGGCTCCCCCTCCCCCCCCAGTTGACTTTGCTTATTGGGAGCCAGTGGGAAGGTTGCAAGTGTAGTACAATTGTGATGAATTATGATCAGGGGATGGTGCAACAGTTGTAACTTTGAGGGTAGGTCAAAAAGTCCCTTTTTCTGAGGCCCTCAAAACTTCGAGGCATTGTTAAGCAATTGGTCGTAATTCAAAGACTGCCTTACAGGTAGTCCTCTGCTTACAACCATTCATTTAGTGACCGAAGTTACAAAGGCACTGAAAAAAGCTACTGGTGACCATTTTTCACACTTAATGACCGTTGCAGCATCCCCGAGGTCACACGATCAAAATTTGGTGCTTGACAACTGATTTATATTTATGACGGTCAAAGTGTCCCGGGGTCATGTGATCCCCTTTTGCAACCTTCTGGCAAACAAAATCAGTGGGGAAGCCAGATTTACTTAACAACCGGATTACTAACTTAACAACTGCAATGATTCGCTTAACAACTGTGGGAAGAAAAATCAAAAAAAATGGGGCACAACTCACTTAAAACTGTCTTGCTTAGCAAGGGACATTTTGGGGTCCACCGTATTTGTAAGTCAAGGAGTCCCTAGATTAAAGGTAGCTGGGTTACGGACTATTTTTTTTATGTAAGACATTTTATTGGTTTTTTTTTAATTCTTAAACAAAAGGTACACAAGACCCACCGTGATGGTTGGGTGGTCAAACATTCAAAAGTGAAAATATATATAAACAATACAACTCAATAAATTTCACTACCCCCTCTCTATTCCCCTCAGTTAACATAGTACATTTAAATATTCCATTTCTGTTTTAAATTTCTATCACTATTAAACCTGTATTATAACTTTTATCAGTTTACAATTACAATAGTTTAAATTTGAAACAAAAAATTATCAATTCTAATTCTTAATCTCTCACATCCCTCATTTTATACCAAACTCAATTATTTCTTCTTCCACTACACAATAGATATTTTAATAACAATAAAATATTGATCAGCCCTATATATATATATATAAAATCCCAAAATCAATCCATCTCTTTAAAATAACAAAATCATATTAGACCTTGATTCATTCATATTCATTAAACAAAGTTCAAATTTTCTCCAGCTTATCATGCCTTATCATGTCTTTGTTGTCATACAAAAAATCCATCCTAGTAATTTAAAACATTCCATAAATGATAAAAAAAAATGATCTAAGCAGTCATCACTTTTTCAATTCCAATACATAATAATTTTTATATACTTGGTTAGGGCAGTTGCCATGACCCCCAACCGGTCGTAAGTCGAGGACTACTCAACCGGTCATAAGTCGAGGACTACTCAACTGGTGCAGCACCGTTTGCAGAATGGGACTTTTGGCGGGCTCAGCAGGGCAGAGACAGCTGGACAATTCCTATTGGCTTTTGAAAGCCAATAGAATTAGACTCTATTCAAGAGAGTCTATTCTATTGGCTTTCAAAAGCCAATAGAATAAAAGGGAGTGGCACAGCTAAGGAAAAGGGGGGAAAAAATGGCGGACTGCGTTGTTTGGCGACCCCCGTGAAATGGTCATTCGACCCCAAATGGGGTCCCGACTCACAGGTTGAGAACCACTGGGTTAGGGACTTTTCTGGTGGGCTTTCAAATGCTCATGGCCTTGCTCTGTGCCCCCCTCTCCCCAAACCAGGTGGCTGAACGGGCGCTGTATTTCTGGAACAACGAATACATCCTGAGCCTGGTGGAGGACAACTGTCACACGGTACTCCCTACCATCTTCGGCACGCTCTACCGTGTCTCCAAGGAGCACTGGAACCCGTGAGTCCCACAGGCGCCGCACCGGGGAGAACGTGGTCAAAGAAGGAAGGCTTCCTTCCCCCAAGTTAGAAAGCCCCCCGGAGGAAAGTCCACTTCCTAGGTTGTGCTCCCTGTCAGCCGGAATGGGACAACTCGCCCTGGTCTGCTCACCACGGGACAGCTGGCTGCAGGACAATTCAGTCATTCAGTTTAAAATCATTAAAAATATCCCAGAGGGTGCTTTTTCTTTTTCTTTCTTGTTTCTTCTTTGAAGACGTTTCATTTCTTGTCCAAGAAGCTTCTTCAGCTCTGACTGGATGGTGGGGAATGGGAGGATTTATACTCCTTGCAGACAACTGGTCATTTGCCTTCTTTTAGAGAGTTGTTGAGGCCACTTGGAGGTTTATCAGTGTCCTCAGGGTCACCTGAGTAGTGCAAATGGGTGTGGAACACAGTCCTTTCAGCAGTTCCAAGAAGGCTCCATACCCATCTGCTCCACTCAGGTGACCTTGAGAAAAACAGATCAACCTCCAAGTGGCCTCAACAGCTCTCTAAAAGAAGGCAAATGACCAGTTGTCTGCAAGGAGTATAAATCCTTCCATTCCACACCATCCAGTCAGCTGGAGAAGCTTCTTGGATGAGAAGCGAAACGTCTTCAAAGAAAAACAAGAAAGTCCATTTGCCTCCTGAAAAAAGCACCTTTGGGACAACCAGGACCTGGATGATGGAGAATCTCCATAGACAATTAAAAATATATACATTATTTTTTGTCATTCACATTTTATTTTATCCCTCGTTTGGCATCCTTTCCTTAACGCTTCCATTCAACTATTTCTTCGACATTAGTGGGACTTTTGTCTTGCAGCAAGTTGGCCATGGCGAGTTGTCATAGTTGTGGGACTGTAGGGATGTCGGTCCCTTTGTGTCCCAGGTTCATCTTCTCCTTGTCCTCACCAGCCCATCCCATCTCTCTTCCCAGGACCATTGTGTCTCTGGTCTACAACGTCCTCAAGACCTTCATGGAGATGAATGGCAAGCTGTTTGATGAACTCACTGCCTCCTACAAGGTGGAGAAGCAGCAGTAAGTGTGTTTGTGTGGATGTGTGAACTGTGGGGGTGAGGAGCAACTCTGGTGATGGAACCGAAGAATAGAGTCTCTGTCCAGGAAGGGTGGTGGTCCTCCATGTCGTCTAGTTTCAGAAGATGTGGTTGGAAAGCTGGACAAGCTAAACCAAGGATGTCCAGCCTTGGCAACGTGGCTGGCCAGGAAATTCCAAGTCCACCCATGGTCTTGGCTGGCTAGGAATTCTGGGAGTTGAAGTCCATGGGTCTTCAAATGGCCAAGATTAGACATGCCTACCCTAAACACTGCGTCTACAATACTTCCCTTTCTGCATGCCTGAAACAGTACGACCAAATTCACCTGAGATGTTAAGCTTGGCTTGGTCTTATGAACGGGGGTGGGCGGGGTGGGGGTGGGCTTGGCATCTTGTACAAAGCCAGCTCGTTGTGTTAGTTGATGGTTCATGCAACTGTCACAGAATTGTGGAGTTAGAAGGGATCCCAAGGATAAAATACAGACTAAGAGAGTTGGAAGGGGCATTGGAGGTCTTCTAGTCCAGCCCCTTGCTCAAGCAGGAGACCCCATAACATTCCAGACCAGTGGTTCTCAACCTTGGCAACTTTAAGACTTGTGGACTTCAACTCCCAGAATTCTGGGAGTTGAAGTCCACAAGTCTTAAAGTTGCCAAGGTTGAGAACTCCTGTTCCAGACAAACGGTTGTCCACTCTCTTAAAAGCCTCTAGGGATGGAGCACCCACAACTTCTGGTGGCAAGTCATCCCACTGGTTAATTGTTCCCACTGTCAGGAAATTTCTCCTTCTAGAGCAGTGGTTCTCAACCTGTGGGTCAGGACCCCATTTGGGGTCGAACGACCATTTCATGGGAGTCGCCAAACAACGCAGTCCGCCATTTTTCCCCCCTTTTCCTTAGCTGTGCTACTCCCTTTTATTCTATTGGCTTTTGAAAGCCAATATAATAGATTCTCTTGAATAGTGTCTAATTCTATTGGCTTTCAAAAGCCAATAGGAATTGTCCAGGCTGTCTCTGCCCTGCTGAGCCCGCCAAAAGTCCCAGTCTGCAAACGGTGCTGCACCAGTTGAGTAGTCCTCGACTTACGACCGGTTGAGTAGTCCTCGACTTACGACCGTTTGGGGGGTCGCGGTATTAAAAAGGTTGAGAACCACTGTTCTAGATTATATATTCAGGAAAACCAGCTAAACCCTCCACGAGAGGAGCGGGGGGTCTCCGAAAGCTCCAGAAATCACAATCTGTTCCTCTCATGTTCAGTTCTTACCCTCAGGAAGTTTGTAGCTCTCCTGCTTCAGCAGCAGCGGGTTGGACTACAAGACCCCCAATGTTCCTTCCAACACTGTTATCCTGGAATACAGTCCGGTGAATTGCACGTTAGACCAATCATTTAGATCAGCAGTCCGCAACCTTTGTGGCTTGACGGCCTGGCTGGGTGGGGGGAGAGGGGAACCAGGCCCCATGAGCTGCGGGCCAGGGTGCACATGCATGCCCATGCATCCCAACTTGCGCAGGTTGAGCTGCACGCATGTGCGCACATGCACCGGCCCATGGCTTTTGCAGTCCGGTTCTGAATAGGCCACGGCTTGGGAGCGAGACGCAGCCCAGGGATTGGGGATCCCTGATTTAGGTACAATTGTTTTGGCCCAATAGCTGTCCAATCTTTAGAACAGTGGTTCTCCACCTGTGAGTCGGGATCCCATTTGGGGTCGAACGACCATTTCACGGGGGTCACCAAACAACGCAGTCCGCCATTTTTTTCCCCCTTTTCCTTAGCTGTGCGACTCCCTTTTATTCTATTGGCTTTTGAAAGCCAATAGAATAGACTCTCTTGAATAGAGTCTAATTATATTGGCTTTCAAAAGCCAATAGGAATTGTCCAGGCTGTCTCTGCCCTGCTGAGCCCGCCAAAAGTCCCCTTCTGCAAACGGTGCTGCACCAGTTGAGTAGTCCTCGACTTACGACCGGTTGAGTAGTCCTTGACTGACGACCGGTTGGGGGTCGAGGCATTAAAAAGGTTGAGAACCACTGCTCTAGAAGACCTGCAAGGTTTCCCTCCAACACTGTTCATTCTGAATTCTGACATTCTTCTGTGCGCCTGGTTGGGGGGGGGGGAGATGGACCGGAGGGTGGTGGTGGATAGGAAGCCTCCTTCTTTGCCCCTGACCACCCCCTCCTGCCCCTCCCCACAGGGAACTGAAGAAGGAAAAGGAACGCCAGGAGCTCTGGAGGCATCTGGACGAACTTCAGCTGCAGAAGCTGCAAGGCTTGGAAGAAGCCAAGATGAACCGCCTGAATTTGCAACGCACCCTGGCCAGCTAGGAGCCCCTCCACTCCTGGAAATGACCCCCGTGGGCGGTGGGAGCCACCCATCGTCCCAGTCTGCGACAGCTGGTGCCCTCCCCTCCATCCGTGTGCTGAACTGGACCTCCCGTCCTCGGCTGCCCCCCCATCGAGGCCAGCTAGAAAGCAAAGGATCAGAGTTTGGGGGCTGGGCTGGGGGGGGGCAGCAGAGGGAGGGGGGAGAGAGGAGTTGGCAGAGCCCCGTGCTGGACTGCGATGCCCCCCCCCCAAAAAAACTGATGGGCCTGTAAATAGGGGAGGCACAGTCTTGCAAAGACAGTTGGGGGAAACGGTTAGATTGGGAGGGGTGTGGCACTGTTCTAAGGCACTGTTGTACCCAAATCTATTTCCCATCTCTTGGGGGGGGGGAAGAATTGGAGTGCAATACTGAAGAGCGAGGGGTAACAGGGCTCCTCCCCCTCCCCTGCTACTCCAGGGCAGCGAAAATGCCCACCCTGTAGTAGTGACCCTGACCCGCGGCTGTACAGCCCCCCCCTCACCTCCTAACCCCACGCTTCCTTCCCCTCCTCTTTTGCTAGTGACGAAGGGCAGCAGGCAGAAGGATGGTTCTGGGGGGGGCATGTGCCGCCAGAGAAGACAGGGCGGCCACCCCGGAAGAAGCCCGCGCAGGGTGCGTGTGTTCAAAAGGGTGGGGTGGTCTTGCGTGGAGAAGAAATTTGCTCCCACCCACCGATTGTTTACGTGGATTGGCAGTTGCGTCCGGCTGGCTATGTGGCTGTGCGTGCGAGAGAGGATGCAGGTGGTCTTCACTTTGTCCTCTGCAGTTCGGGGGGGGGGCACGTGCAGGGGGTGTCTCTGTGTGCCCCCTTTCTTTGGTTTGTGTTCCCCAGGAGGTTTCAGAACACACATACACACACACACACACGGATTTCCCTTTTGCCCATGGCCGAAACAAGTTTGCCCTTCTCCTCTCTGTTGTACCCAAATCTGTTTCCCATCTCTCCTCCTCTTTTCCACCTATCTTCACCCTCCTCCTCCCATTTTCTCTTATCCTCCTTCCTCCTATCTTCTTTTCTCCTCTAACTCTTCCTCCACCCCGTTCTCTTCCTCCTCTTCTCCTTCCCCATCTTCCTTCCTTCTCCTTCTCCCTCTTCTCCTTCCTCCTATCTTTTGTCCTCTAACAACTAACTCCTCCTCCCTGTTCATGCCCTCTTTCCTCCTCCTCTTTCCTCTTCCTTCCTCTTCCTCTTCTTCTTCTTCTTCCTTCTCCCCCCACCCAGGTTCCTCACCTTGGGGAAGACATATTTGCTGGAGAGGACACCGAGTGACTTCAAAGGAGTTGTAGCAGGCTCTGTGTGTGTGAGTGTCCGCGTGCGCCTGTTATGTGTATTTAGGACAGTGGTTCTCAACCTTTTTAATGCCGTGACCCCCAACCGGTCGTAAGTTGAGGACTACTCAACCGGTCGTAAGTCGAGGACTACTCAGCTGGTGCAGCACCATTTGCAGAATGGGACTTTTGGCGGGCTCAGCAGGGCAGAGACAGCCTGGACTATTCCTATTGGCTTTTGAAAGCCAACAGAATTAGACTCTATTCAAGAGACTCTCTTCTATTGGCTTTCAAAAGCCAATAGAATAAAAGGGAGGAGCACAGCTAAGGAAAAGGGGGGAAAAAATGGCGGACTGTGTTGTTTGGCGACCCCCGTGAAATGGTCGTTCGACCCCAAATGGGGTCCCGACCCACAGGTGGAGAACCACTGATTTAGGACGTAGGAGAGCCCATTTCATCCACCAAAATCTTATTGCAGGATGCAGTGCAGGAAACCCACCACAGTAGCCTCTCCGATGGGCCTTGCTTGGGGGGGGGGGGCGGAAGACTGCCCGTAAAAACACCCTGAAAGCAATTAATTCTTTTCTCTGGAGGTGTCAGCAAACAGATGTGTCGGACTGCATCCGGCTTGGGATGCTGAGAGACTGAGAACATCTGGCAAGCAATCTTTAATGGGTTCTCCAACCCTGCTGCACCTGGATGGGGACTGAGCAGAAAAGGATTTTTTAAAAAAAAAAAAACAATTTTTGTAGCTCAGAGTTGAACTGGAAGTTCCTTGGTGCTCTCTGAGCTTGGTTATTTTCTTGCAGATGTTTCATGACCCAACTAGGTTACATCAGTGCTAGTCAAATCAATCTGAATAGAACTGGAAGGGACCTTGGAGGTCATCTAGTCCAACCTCCCGCTCAAGCAGGAGACCCTATACCATTTTAGACAAGTGGCTGTCCAGTCTCTTTTTTAAAAAAATATACTTTATTGGTTTTTTAACATAATTACCTTAATATTTGGGAAACAGCGTGTTGTCTGGGTTTATATTTTAAAAAACATTCAATAATTAGTTTCTATAATTCTATAGTCTCTTCTTGAGAACCTCCAGTGATGGAGCACCTACAACTTCTGGTGGCAAGCTGTTCCACTGGTGAATTGTCCTTACTGTTAGGAAATTTCTCCTTAATTCAAGGTTGCTTCTCTCTTTGGTCAGTTTCCATCTGTTGCTTCTAGTCTTTTCTTCGGGTGCTTTAGAAAATACGTTGACACCCCCCCCCTTTTCTTTGTGGCAGCCCCTCAAATACTAGAAGGCTGCTGTCATGTCCCCCCTGCTCCTTCTTTTCTCTAGACTGGCCATTCCCAAATCTTGTAACTGTTCTTCATATGTTTTAGTCTCCAGGCCTTGGATCATCTTAGTTGCTCTTTGCACTTTTCCCAAAGTCTCAACATCTTTTTTGTGATGTGGTGACCAAGACTGGATGCAGTATTCCAGATGTGGCCTTACTAAGGCTTTATAATTTGGTATTAACACTTCTCATGATTTTAATTCAATCTCTCTGTTTATACAACCAAGGATTGTGTTAGCTTTTTGGGCTGCTGATGGCTTGTGTTGATGTCAAATGGACTGATGATGTTACCTAGTTGGGTCATGAAACGTCTGCAAGAAAACAACCTCAGAGACCGCTCAACCCTAATTTTAAGTTCCAGGCTGTGGCTGCAACCGGCACGATACCCTCTTCACACACACCCCAAATTTTTGAATGCTGACAACCTATTCTTCCTCCAGATTGACAATGTATTTTCCTCTCCACCAAAGGTTGTATGTTAGGGTGTGCGTGTGTGTGTGTGTGTGTAAAAGTAAGGGTGAGGGAGATGAGTGCAAGGCAAAAGACACCCCCCCCCTTTTCTAGGCATGATCACCTCAACACAGTCTTGGTACCCAGAAACACCCTTAGTGGGGATGGGGGGGGGGAGAGGACACAGCTTTTACTGCAGACCACTTGGATCAGATTCTTCTATATAATCAGACTTAGTAATACCACACCAGTGTAGTTTTCACAGGAGAAGGCCCTAAGGCGCTGGAGAGGGGCCGGGGGGGGTGTTGGAAGTGGGGCTGGCAGGGTAGGGGGCCGCAAGAGAGATATTTTGTGGGGGTGGGTGGAAGGGTTGAGTCTATTTATGAACAGTTTCCTGATCACGAACCTTCCCGCTTCCCCGTATTCCTTTTGCTGGACGACTCTGTATTCAATAAAGAGAAAGTTTCATGTCACAAGCGGTGTGGGGCCTGATCTGGATCCGGAGTGGGGCAGGGGCGTCACTCAAGTCCGTAAAGAAGTGTCTTTCAAAAAATTAGGACCAAACCCCTGCTCAAACAGGAGAGCCTATACCATTCCAGATAGGTGACTGTCCAGTCACTTCTTAAAAACCTCCAGTGATGGAGCGCCCATGACTTCTTGTGGGAAGTTGTCCCACTGGTTAATTGTCCTCACTGTTAGGAAGTTTCTCCTTAATTCTAAGATGTTTCCCTCCTTGCTTAGTTTCCTTGCTTAGGTCAGAACAACCCCCTGCTCAAGCAAGAGAGCCTATACCAGTGGTTCTCAACCTTTTTAATGCCGCGACCCCCCCTCAACTGGTGCAGCACCGTTTGCAGACTGGGACTTTTGGCGGGCTCAGCAGGGCAGAGACAGCCTGGACAATTCCTATTGGCTTTTGAAAGCCAATAGAATTAGACTCTATTCAAGAGAGTCTATTCTATTGGCTTTCAAAAGCCAATAGAATAAAAGGGAGGAGCACAGCTAAGGAAAAGGGGGAAAAAATTGGCGGACTGCGTTGTTTGGCGACCCCCGTGAAATGGTCGTTCGAGCCCAAATGGGGTCCCGACCCACAGGTGGAGAACCACTGGCCTATACCATTCCAGATTGGTGACTGTCCAGTCTCTTCTTAAAAACCTCCAGTGATGGAACGCCCATGACTTCTTGTGGGAAGTTGTCCCACTGGTTAATTGTCCTCACTGTTAGGAAGTTTCTCCTTAATTCTAAGATGTTTCCCTCCTTGCTTAGGTCAGAACAACCCCCTGCTCAAGCAAGAGACCCTATACCATTTAACATAAATGGTCCACTTTTTTTTTTTTTTGAAGCCTTCAGTGACGGAGCATCCACAATATCTGGAAGCAAGCCGTTCCACTGGTTAACTGTCCTCACTGTTGGGAAGTTTCTCCTTAGTTCCAGCTTGCTTCTCTCCTTGATTAGTTTTCATCCATTGGTTCTGTAAGGACCCACCCCACTTTGCATCTTAAGAAGACAGAACTCTTGGAATAATTCTTCCAACAGGAATCCTTTATTAAGAAGTGGTTGCAGGCGTGCTAGACAGGACTTGGGGTCCAAGCTCTCCCATTCAAGGTTTTAAGGGGTTCCCCAGCAGTCCCACCCAATCACACACACCCCTTCCAGTGATAGTTTCAGGCATCACAATTCCACCCCTTTGTTCCTTTCTTCCGTCTGGATGGAGATTTCAGATAAACTACATGAAAGGTAAATAGCCCTCTTTGTTATGGTAAGGTTCAAACTCTTTGAGGTTGCAATAAACACATTCAATTCCTTAGAAGTATACTGAAGGAAGTGAGGGCCATAAAGCCCCTTTGTTCTCCCCCTTCTCTCCCTCTTATGGCAGAATCCAGAGAAGGCAGAATTGGGGTTTTCTATGTTTGATGATTAAAGATGAAATATAATTGGATTCTGACAGGTTCTTGTCCTGCCTTGGAAAATAAGTGGATCCCCTCCTTGTGGCAGCCCCTCAAAAACTGGAATCCTGCTATCATGTCTCCCCTGGCCCTTCTTTTCTCTAGACTCGATGGGTAGACTTCAATTCCCAGATCTCTCCTTTCCCAATTGTAGCCTGCTTGAAGCGAAAGAGGTTTGAGATCCAGACTCCCAGCCTTCTCGACTGCTCAGGCACTCGGAAAAGATGGGTTTCAACACAACATGTGGAAACACCTCTGAATAGAAAATTGCCCCCACAATGTGGAAGCTTTGCCTGCCTCTTGGAAAAACTACAGGAAGTCCTAGACTTAACAACAGTTTGTTTAGTGGTTGTTCAAAGTTTCAACGGCACTGAAAAAAATGTGCCTTGGCACCACATTTCACAATTGCGACCTTTGTGTGATCATGGGATAAAAATTCAGACGCTCGGCAGCCGGTTCAGATTTATGACGGCCGCAGTCTCCCAAGGTCACGTAATCCTCTTTTGCGACCGGACAAGGTCCATGGGGAAGCTGGATTCGCTTAACAACGGTGTTATTGAGTTAACTACAGTGGCACTGCAAGGCGTTCAAACTGGTCAGTCCTAGAAGAGATCAACCCCGACTGCTCTTTAGAAGGCCAGATCCTGAAGTGGAAACTCAAGTACTTTGGCCACCTAATGAGAAGGAAGGACTCACTGGAGAAGGGCCTAATGCTGGGAAAGATGGAGGGCAAGAGAAGAAGGGGACGACAGAGAAGGAGGTGACTGGATGGAGTCACTGAAGCAGGAGGTGTGAACTTAAATGGACTCCAGAAGATGGTAGAGCACAGGAAGGCCTGGAGGAACGTTGTCCATGGGGTCGCGATGGGTCGGACACGACTTTGCAATTAACAACAACACAGTGGCACATTTAACAGCTGTGGTGAGAAAGGTCGTAAAATGGGGCAAAACTCAATAAATGTTTCACTTAACAACAGAAATTTTGCGCTCAGATCTATACCTGGATTTGACCAGCCCTATGCAAAATGCACAATACTGAATAATTTCCATCCCTTGCTTCTTTTCCTGCCTTCAGGTGCTTTGGAGAATATGTGGGCCCCCTCTTCTCTGTTAAACCCCCTTAGATAATGGAAGACTGCTATCATGTCACCCCTGGTCCTTGTTTTTATTAAATTAGTTCCTGTAGGCGTTCTTCAAATGTTTTAGCCTCCAGCCCCCTAATCATCTTTGCTGCTCTTCTCTGTATCCTTTCCAGAGCCTCAACATCTTTTTTTATATTGCGGTGACCAAAACTGGATGCAATTATTCCAGGTCTGGTCATACTAAGGCTTTGTAAAGTAGTACTAATACTTCACACTAATACAGGGACTCTTATTCTTCAACTCTGAGAAAATAGCCCTTTCTTGATAGAAATTCCCAGAAAAGAGGTCTTTGGGAATGTCATCTTAGCAATAACAATAGCACTTAGACTTATGTATCGCTTCACAGTGCTTTACAGCCCTCTATAAGTGGTTTACAGAGTCAGCATATTTGCCCCCAACGATCCGGGTCCTCATTTTACCGACCTCGGAAGGATGGAAGACTGAGTCAACCTTGAGCCAGTCAGGATCAAACTGCTGACAGTGGGCAGAATTAGATTACTTCATCCTGACTCCTGCGCCACCATGGCAATAGAATAGAATAGAATAGAATAGAATAGAATAGAATAGAATAGAATAGAATAGAATAGAATAATGGAATGAAGAATAGAATAGAATAGAATAGAATAGAATAGAATAGAATAGAATAGAATAGAATAGAATAGAATAGAATAGAATAGAATAATGGAATGAATAGAATAGAATAGAATAGAATAGAATAGAATAGAATAGAATAGAATAGAATAATGGAATGAATAGAATAGAATAGAATAGAATAGAATAGAATAGAATAGAATAGAATAGAACTTAGACTTGTATACTGCTTCATAGTGCTTTACAGCCCTCTCTAAGCAGTTTACAGAGTCAGCATCTTGCACCCCCCCAACAATCTGGATCCTCATTTTACTGACCTCGGAAGGATGGAAAACTGAGCCGATCAGGATCGAACTGCAGTGGGAAGTCCGCAGAATTAGCCTGCGGTTCTGCATTCTAACCACTGCATCACCATGGCATTAATAAAAGCTTTCTCCTTCTTCAACCTCCGTTACCACCAAGGAACAGGAATGTGGAAGGACATTTTAGCCCTCTACGCTGCAGATCATGAAATAGTCATATCTATTATGACATAGTTGTTAAGTGAGTTTTGCCCCATTTTACAACCTTTCTTGCCACCGTTGTTAGGTGAATCACTTCAGTTGGTAGCAGGGCTGGGAATAAGAGCCTCTCTTGAAAGCAGACACATCCTTTCCCGGGGTGATATGGCTGCTACGGTGGCGATACCAGAAGATCGATTGGCTTTAGAAAATTGCATAACAAATGTTTAGGTCTTTGAGTGCTTCCGAATGTCCAAAGTCTTTGAGGCTCACGTTGCACTGCTCCTATTTGGGAATACAGCCTGGATGGATGACTGATTAAAGATGCTTTAGCAACAATTTATATTTTAGCAACAAAAAGTAAATCAGATGCCTTTTAAAGCCTCTTGCCATTTCTGAATCGATTCAGTTATTTTGCATTTTATTAGGCAAAGCTAAGATTAATCCCTGTATATATGTATGTATTTGTATATATGTGTATATATATGTGTGTGTATGTATATGTGTGTGTGTGGAGGACACTTTAAGCATTTCTGGTTTGATTGTTATTGGAGGATTTGGGAAGATGAGCTGAAAAGTGAGCAGCATTCTACCTCAATTGTCTTAAAGCAGCGGTTCTCAACCTATGGGTCGCGACCCCAATTAGGGGTCGGTCGATCATTTCACGGGGGTCGCCAAGCAAGGCTGTCCGCCATTTTTTTCCCCTTTTCCGGTGGGTGCCTTAGCTCCCTTGGGCTGGGCCAGCTGGTGGCCCAGCCGGTGGTCGGCCTGCTCCGTCTCTGCCGCTTGCCAGCTACGCATGCGTGGCGCTCCCGGGCAGGGAAAGTCCTCGACTTATGACCGTATTAGTCCTCGACTTACGACCGGTTGGGGGGTCACGGCATTAAAAAGGTTGAGAACCCCTGTCTTAAAGTAAGAATCATGGGAAAGAAGAATTCCAACAGTTCAGTATCAGTGGGGTATCAGTATCATTATCAATTCCCTTCCATGTGTGATTGGCTCCCTGTGGTCTTGCATGAAGGATCCCTGCAAAATGCCCTTTAAGAGGCGTAGTGAGTAAATATTTTGTGCTACTGCAACTCTCCTCTCTAATGTGACACGGACTCTTGGCTGGGGAGTGACATGGGTGGATGGACGTTCACACAGTCCCTTCGGAAGGTGTTTCTCATAAATGGCACATTTAATGTGGGTTTTCTAGGAACAGAACCTACCTACTTACCTTCCTTTCTTCCTTCCTCCTTCCCTCCATTCCTTCTTCTTCCCTCCCTCCCTCCCTCCCTTCCTTTTCTCCCTTCCTCTCTTTTTCCTTCTTTCCTCTCTCCCTTCTTCCTTTCTCCCTCCTTCCTTTTTTCCACTTCTTCTTTTCCTCCCTCCCTCCCTCCCTTCCTTCCTTTTCTCCCTCCCTCCCTTTTTCCTTCTTTCGTCTCTCCTTCCTTTCTCCCTCCCTTCCTCTTCCTTCCCCTCTCTCTCCCTCCCTCCTTCCTTTTTTCCACTTCTTCCTTTCCTCCCTCTCTCCCTTCCTTCCTTTTCTCCTTCCCTTTTTCTTTCTCCCTCTGTCCCTCTCCCCTCCTCTGTCCTTCCTTCCTTCCTTCCTTCCTTCCTTCCTTCCTTCCTTCCTTCCTTCCTTTCTTCCGCTGAGCAGTGCCCAACCGTTAAAACATGTCAACAAAAAAGGCAAAAAGTAAAACACACATAACCATTGGGGGGGAAAAAAAATGTATTCAGCAGCCAAGTTACCCCAGGTACTCAAAGGATCCCACATGCAACCTGGCTTTCCTCGTACACAGAAATTCCCTTGTAATTTCTTAAGACTTAAAAGCATCTTTTTTAAACACTAACGGGCCCCTGGAGACCGAGAGGACGGTGGCAGGCCCAGTCTGCAGAAGATCCATTTGGTCCAGTGTTTCTCAACCTCAGCAAAGGCGGCTGGGGGAATTCTGGGAGTTGAAGTCCGCACATCTTAAAAGCTCCTGAGGCTGAGAAATACTGACCTCGTTGGTGACTGCAGAAATCAACAGAGGAGTGTCAATATCTGGAGAGGCGGCACACGTCACACTGGCAGGTCTTGGCAGTGAAAAGGTCCACCGTTTTCTGCAAACTGAGACTACAACGCAGCCGAAGTTTCACCTGGAGAGGACAATGCAAAAACCACCGTTTGATAAGAGCCGAGGTGGCGCAGCAGTTAGAGTGCAGTACTGCAGGCCCCTTTAGCTGACTGTGTTCAGCAGGTCAGCGGTTCAAATCTCAGCGGCTCAAGGTTGACTCAGCCTTCCATCCTTCCAGGGTAGGTCAAATGAGGACCCAGATGGTTGGGGGCAATGTAAATATAGATATATATATACATTGCTTACTGGTGTACACCGCTTAGAGAGTGCTTGCACTTAAAGTGGTATATAAGTCTCATAAATAAATAAATAGAATAATGGAATGAAGAATAGAATAGAATAGAGTAGAGTAGAGTAGAGTAGAGTAGAGTAGAGTAGAGTAGAGTAGAGTAGAGTAGAGTAGAGCAGAGCCGAGGTGGCGCAGCAGTTAAGAGTGCAGTACTGCAGGCCACTTTAGCTGACTGTGTTCAGCAGGTCAGCGGTTCAAATCTCACCGGCTCAAGGTTGACTCAGCCTTCCATCCTTCCGGGGTAGGTCAAATGAGGACCCAGATGGTTGGGGGCAATGTAAATATAGATATATATATACATTGCTTACTGGTGTACACCGCTTAGAGAGTGCTTGCACTTAAAGTGGTATATAAGTCTCATAAATAAATAAATAGAATAATGGAATGAAGAATAGAATAGAATAGAGTAGAGTAGAGTAGAGTAGAGTAGAGTAGAGTAGAGTAGAGTAGAGTAGAGTAGAGTAGAGTAGAGTAGAGTAGAATAGAATAGAGCCGAGATGGCGCAGCAGTTAGAGTGCAGTACTGCAGGCCACTTTAGCTGACTGTGTTCAGCAGGTCAGCGGTTCAAATCTCACCGGCTCAAGGTTGACTCAGCCTTCCATCCTTCCGGGGTAGGTAAAATGAGGACCCAGATGGTTGGGGGCAATGTAAATATATATATACACGTTGCTTACTGGTGTACACCGCTTAGAGCAGTGGTTCTCAACCTTTCTAATGCCGCGACCCCATAATACAGTTCCCCATGTTGTGGTGACCCCCAACCACTTATACATCACCGGGTGCCAGGGGCGTGGCCAAAGAAAAGGGGGAAAAATGGCGGACAGCCTTGCTTGGCGACCCCCGTGAAATGGTCATTCGACCCCAAATGGGGTCCCGACCCACAGGTGGAGAACCACTGGCTTAGAGAGTGCTTGCACTTAAAGTGGTATATAAGTCTCATAAATAAATAAATAAATAAATAAATAAATAAATAAATAAATAAATATCAGGGATACATCATCTTGCTCTTTCCTAGTAGTTCAGCCCTGCAAAACCATGCAAAACAGCTTTGCACACCTGATCAGAACACCTAAGTTTTTGTTTTTAATTTTAGTTTCCGGGACTTAACCTGCCTTCCTTGCCACAGTTGGTAAGAGAATCACTGCAGTCGTTAAGTTAGCAACACGGTTGTTAAGCAAATCTGGCTTCCCTATGATTCTACACCCCCCCCCCCCGCGGGATGCTGCAACAGTTGGTAAAAGACTGCTTGTAAGTCATTTTTTTCAGGGCTGTTGTAACTTTGGATGGTTGCTAAATCAAAGGTCAACAGTTCATTTAGTGACCATTTGAAGTTACAACGGACGTTTTTCACACTTACAACCGTAGCAGCATCCCCAGGTATCATGTGATCAAAATTCGGACGCTTGGCCACTGACTCGTATTTATGACGGTCGCCGTGTCCCCGGGGTCACGTGATCCCCTTTTGCGACCTGCTGACAAGCAAAGTCAACGTATGTCGAGGACTAGCCTGTACCCGTATAAGCATCTGGAATTCCATTATATAATTTCATTCCGTTTCTGGAGAGAACAAAGCTGGAAAAAAAACCTGCGCAAATCCCCTCACCGTTTGCATTTGGCTGATGGTGCAGCACTGGGAGACGGAAGTGATGTTGTGCTGGAAGCTGCTGGCCCGGAGCACCGAGTACTTGGAAGGAAAGGCGCTCGACTCACAGTAACCCACACAGGCCTGGATGGTGCGAGTGCCCCGGCAGGTACCCTGACGGTCACTCCGGACGGTGACATTGAAAGCTGGCGAGAAGAAGAAAAACAGAACAGCATTGGTTCCTTTTTCCCAAGGGGCAGACTACAACTCCCATCATCTTGACTGGAGGCATGGGAGTTTCAATCAGGCAGATCCCCCAAAGCAGGGGTCTCCAACTTTGAGCAACTGTTGTGATTGTTTACTTTTTAAAGAAGAGACTGGACAACAATTTGTCTAAAATGGGCGTAAGGATTTCCTGCTTGATCGGAAAGTTGGACGAGAACAGGGGTCTCCCAACTTAGCCACTTTAGGACTTGCGGACTTCAATTCCCAGAATTCCCCAGGCAGCCATGCGGTGATGGGAGGGCCCGAGAGCATAGAGACTTAAAAGAGGGTAGAGATTTTCTCTCCTAGAGAGGTCAGTTTCTGCTTTCCTTGGTTTAAACCAGGGGTCTCCAACCTTGGCCACTTTAAGGCTTGTGGACTAGCTATCCCTGGGGAATTCTGGGAATTGAAATCCAGAAGTCTTAAAGTGGCCAAGGTTGGGGCCCCTTGCCCCAAAGTACTCAGTTCAGAGAAGCAGATTTATTGTGCTTTCTAGAGCTGAGATTCCAGAAAAAGAGTAGAGAAGAACAACAAAGAAACAGAATACAGAATAACAGAATTGGAAAGGAACTTAGAGGTCTTCTAGTCCAACCAGTACTCAAGCAGGAGACTCTATACAATTCTGGACAAATGGACGCTTCTTGAAAACTTCCAGTGTTGGAGTACCCACAACTATGGGAGGAAGGCAGATAGATAGATAGATAGATAGATAGATAGATAGATAGATAGATAGATAGATAGATAGATAGATAGATAGATAGATAGATAGATAGATAGATAACCTATCTATCCACCCACCCACCCGCCCACCCACCCACCTACACATCTATCTATCTATCTATCTATCTATCTATCTATCTATCTATCTATCTATCTATCTATCTATCTATCTACTTATCTATCTATCATCTATGCTATCTATCTACCATATATCATCTATCTATCTATCTATCTATCTATCTATCTATCATCTATCTACCTACTTATCTATCATCTAAGGTATCTATCTATCATATACTGTATTTATCTATCTATCTATCTATCTATCTATCTATCTATCATCTATCTACCTATCTATCTATCATCTATGGTATCTATCTATCATATATTATCTATCTGTCTGTCTGTC